AACCAGTACCTTTGACTTCTAAATCTTCCCTGACTTTGGCCACAAATCAAGAAGTTATCTTTATTTCATTCTTCATTTTAAATTGATTAAAGGCAGCTATTGTTTTTTAATTGATTAAAGTCACAGAGGGTATAAACCATTGAATAAAGCAGGGTTAGGCCTATGTACCACAGGTTAGTGACCTAAATACCACAAAAAACCTGCTGTTGTCTCAAGCTGGCAAAAATGAAAAATCCAGAGTCTGAATGGTATGTGTCTGGAATGGCCCTGCCTCTGACACCACCTGCAAGGATCACTGTTGGCCTCGGGCTATTGGCTATTGGCTCAGACCAGTAGCTCACAAAGAGCTGTTAACAGTGGTGTGTCTGATGCTGTCTCCACTTCCTGGTGGTTACTGACCAGTGCTGTCCAACACTGGTGACTCACACTCTGTGTTGGTCACCTTTGAGAGTTGTTCACTGCTTCTGATCATCCACATCATCTCCTGGTGCTGTTGCCTCCACTGCTGTCCAGTCCAGTGTTCATTGCTGTCCAGCCTTAGGACCATTGCTGTTGGCTGCTGTGATGTCCTCTCAGCCATCCCACCTATAAGCACCTCCAGCTGCCACCATTAGTTGAATCCTATCCCACTGCTTGCTGGTGTGCCACCAGTTCTAGGTTCTTGATGGGATGGTGCCATCTTGCATGAGCTTCCTTTGTTTGGGATTACCGAACCCTGTAGACACTATCTGGGTTGAGACAGTCCACCACTTGTGATACTAGAAATGCTTTTCTTTTTCCTAATCTCCTGTTTGCTAAATAAACCTAATTTTTGTTGCACCCTGAACCTGGGTGGTCTTGTAATTGAGTGCATGGGTGAGAGCCCATAGACAGTGGCCTCTCCTCCACCTTGGAATTGTCCTTTCACTGTTTTAAAGTTTATTTTTCTCTGAAACTGTTTTCAGCACTACAAAGTAAAGTTCTTAACTAGCTAATAATTTAAGGTTTTACCATGGTTAATTGGCACCATTTAAAAAAAGGTCATTTAGGCTTTCACCTTGCAGTGTGTTTATAGAGTACTTAATACTTTCTAGCATTTATGCGGTGCTTACTATGTAGGACCTGGCATTTTGCACTTAGAGTGACTGTAGTTCCTTAGAACTTTATTTAGGTGGATTTGGCCATGAGCTTTGGTTTGCTGAACCCTTATAACTCTGCCTTCCATTCAGGCATTTTACATTTAACCTTCCCAGAGGCCCTTTGAGGTCAGTATTTTTATAATATATATATATATTTTTTTGTGGGACCCTCGCCAGTGGCTGGGGAAAGAACCGGCACTGCAGAGGCTGTGGGCAGCCCCACAGCCCAGCGCTCAACCACTGCACCACCAGGGGAGACCCAGTATTATATTTTTTAATGAATTTACTATATTTGTATATTAAAGTATAATTGATATACAATAAACTGTACATAATAACAACTTGGTAAGTTTTGACATGTGTATAGTCATGAAACATTATTATAATGGAAATTATAAATGTGTCCATCACCTCATCTTCCTTTGTAATCCATCTCCCTGCCTTGCCCAAGGCAATCAGATTTACCTTCTCTTACTATACCATTATGGTTTCCATTTTTTTACTTTTATGTTAAGTGGACTCATACGTAGTATTACCTATTCCATTTCTCGTCTGTTAAATAGAAATTTTTGCCGGTAAAATTACTCAGCATGCTTATTTTGGGATTCTCCATATTGTTATCCATATATGTATCCATAACTTTGTCATTCCTTTCTAATTTGGAGTTGTATTTCATTGTCTGAACATACTATAATTTATTCATTACTGTGTAGGTAGATATTTGGGTTACATCCAATTTTAGGCCATTAAAACTAAAGCAACCATGGGCATCCATAATATTACTTTATGTAGACATGTGCCTATTTGAATAAATACCTACAAGTGGAATATGTTGATTGTATGACAGGAAAATGTTTAAATTGTTAAGGAACTACCAAATTGTTGGCCAAAGTTGTTGTACTAATTTAAATTCTTACTCCCCCTAGCAATGTATAAGAGTTCTGGTTGCTCCACATCCTCGCCAACACTTGAGATAGTTATACTTCTTAATTTTAGTCATTCTTGTGGCTGTAAAGCAACAACTTGGCATGGTTTAAATTTGCATTTCCCTAATGATTAATGACTGAGTATATTTCTGCTTATTTGCTTTTTTTTTTAAAGATTTATTTATGCAGACAAGAACTGAGATACAGACTAGAGGTATGGGGGGCGGGTGAGAGGATTAACCAGAGACAGAATGGGGAACAGAACAGGTGGCTTGACTGAAATATACTGGGAGCAGCAGGTGAGACAGGAGAGGTCTGCTGCACCATGTGGGTAGCTCCCTGGCAGGGGATCAAACTTTTGCTGCAGTGGCTGCAGATAGCTTCATAGTGCTGCATCTTAAACCCTTGCACCACCAAGGAGGCCCCGTCTGCTTATTTATTAAACTGTGCATTCTTTGGCAAATTATCTTGCCCAGTCTTTTGCTTATGGTTTTAATTGGATTTTTTTTATCATCATACTGTGTTTTGAGCTCTCTATATGTTCTGTGTACAAGCGTTTTATCAGTTACAGGCTTTATATATTTTTTTCTCCCTCCCAGTCTGTCTTTTCATTTGCTTGGAAGTATAATTGATGTTATTTTGATTTACTGTATTGCATATAGTGTGTTTGTTAGAAAGCACACTCCAATGTTGATGGTGTCAGGAGTTTTGAATGCTAGCCTTGAAATCTAAGGAACATAATTGGCATTTTAAGCCACAGGGTTCTCCTCAAAATTTCCTTGTCTTATACATTTCTGTTTTTTTATGTTTAGCTGAAAGTTTTTTTTTTTTTAAATATTTATGCATGCAAGAACTGGGGTACAGGCAACAGGTACAGGGGGGTTGAGAGGATTCACCAGAGACAGTGTGGGGAACAGAACAAGCAGATTGACTGAAATACACCGCTGAGTGGAGCAGCGGGTGAGATAGAAGAGGTCTGCTGTGCCATGTGGGTGAGTTCCCGAGTTGGGGATCCAATTCATGCTGCAGTAGCTATGGGTAGCTTCATAGTGCTGAGACTTAACCCCTTGTGCCACCAGGGAGGTCCTAGCTGAAAGTTTTTATGAATACAAATTTGATTATGGTTTACAATAATTGGTAGAAAGAAATATTTTTAGGGATTTACACATGATTCTATAAACAAAACAAAACTCACAAAAACTTAATTGCTTTGTATAACTTCTGGATTTCTATACTTTTGCTAATTTGACACCCTACCTTCTTTTCTAAATTAAAGGAAATATTTTCTTATGTAATTGTCTCATAATTCGGACTATCTTAATGAGGCTAATTTCTCTTGTTACCAATCATTTCACATACAGTAATTAAAATTCATAAAAATGGAAATGACTGGTAGCATGTGCTCTCCACTCCAGTTGGAGAGGAGTCAGACCTACTTTAATGTGCCTACATTGCCTTTTTGCACAGTACTGACATTGAACATGTCTAGGTAACTGTTAAATATTTTTATGAAAAATGGTACAATAGTAAATTTCCATAAATGTCCACATTATTATCAAATAAGTTGTATATGTAGTTGGTTAGCCAGATTTACATTAACAATGAAATATGAACATGTTAGTGGGTTTTACTTTTGATTTTATTATAATACAATTCGGAACATTCCACTCTCAATACAGCCTCAGATAAGCCCCTGTGAGGAGTTGTCACAAAGCAAGTGAACATTAAGTTGATCCACTTAAGCTTGACTCTTGTATTCTTTTTCCACTATTCCATCAAGAAATTGTATGGCAACATAGTCGAATTTGGAAGAGAAAGAGCATAATTGTGGGAGTCACTTTGTGTTGTTACTCTCAATAAAATGTATATAAAGTATGCTTTTCATCATGTGTTTTAAAAGGAAAGTGTCCTGTCACTGTGTTTTATCTTTGGCCAAAGAGTTATAGAGCTTGATTTACTTTGATTGACAGTCATTGTTCTTGGCACTCAAGTCTGTAATTTGACAGACTGAGCATATGGTGATATAAGCATTGGAAGTTAAGGCAACTGCAAGGTAGTTCAGAATGGCTGACGTCATATTTCCCTAGCCACATAGGAGGCAAAATACCTGGATTTCAGTTCTGTCTTAGTGAGAACACCTATAATCCTTGCCAAGCAACTCAGTGATTTTCGTCTGTCAGATGAAGACCAAAGTCCATCCTCCATAGGTCACAGAATAGTATATCAGAGAGGAAGAGAATGTTTTGCAAAGGCCTCTGTGATATGCTAAGCTGCAGGTCATTTTCCCCAAAGTATTTAGCTTGTTAAATGATTTTATGAACTATGAAGAGTTCTGCAATTGAGTCTGTACTTTTAATGCCACCACCAATTGTACTGCCTTTTGTTCTAAAATAGTAGACTTCTTAGAGAAGAATAATCTTGCAGATGGAGTCACGAGTGAGTATAGACTAAAGATAGGGGGAAAGATGAAACACAAGCCCCTTTTTTCTTGTCCAGCCCTAATCCTTTTGACTACATTTTACCCACTAGATTTATCTTCTTCCTGCCAGTTTCCTTTTCTGCTATTCTTGTCCCTTCTGCCTTCTCCCCCCGACTTTCTTTTTTTCCTTTATTATCTCTCATCTCTTTGACCAAGGGGAAAGAGAAGACAGGGGATGATGGGTTCTATAGCTTTAAGTGTGTCATGTTGATGTTTATGGGGAATGTACCACACACACACACACACACACACACACACACACAGAACAGAAACTTAGGTACTCATACCACAAGTTCAACCACTTCTTCTCTGTGGTTTCTGTTTCTGTGTGTTTATCCTTAATTCCACCAGTTTATGTTGCTCCCACATGGGAGATATGTGTTAACTGCATCATTCTTAGGATCAGAAGTGTTATATCTGGATGCATATTCTGTCTGAATTATGAGTTTTTAATTTCTTTATCATATTCCTTTCTAGGGCAGGAACGCTTTGGCAACATGACCCGTGTCTACTATAAAGAAGCTGTTGGTGCTTTCGTTGTCTTTGATATATCAAGAGGTTCCACATTTGAGGCAGTTTTGAAATGGAAAAATGATCTGGATAGTAAAGTCCATCTTCCAAATGGCAACTCTATTCCTGCTGTCCTCTTAGCTAACAAGTGTGACCAGAAGAAGGACAGTGGCCATTCTCCTCCCCAGATGGAACAGTTTTGCAAAGAACATGGCTTCACTGGATGGTTTGAAACCTCTGCAAAGGTGAGATCCACTGTGGGTTTGTGTCTGTTCTGCTGCTGGTAAGTTGCACATGGATCTGAGCTGTAACTATAAAGTAAGTAGATGGATTTTTGCAGTGGTTTTCTGAAGTCTAAAATGGAAACATAGCCTGGGTATGTTATGTTTTTTTCTGTGAGCAGCAGGAATGCTTTCAAAATTGGCTAATGGGGAGGTGAGTAGAAGGGCAGATTTTACATTCAAATTAAAATGGGCTATTATGTAGCGCAAGGAACAAATGACATTTTCTGTGAGCTTGAGTCTTTAAATGAAGTACTTTTCATGCAACTGGAGTTTATGAGCGATGAAGTATATTGTCAAGAACCAGCATTTGTGATTCTTAAAGACAGCTTAACAAAATAGAGAGCAGTTTCCTTGGTGAATCTGAAGGTCACATGTAAGACTACCAAAGGCATAAAAGGTCAGAGAGAAGGGGTTTTCAGAAGATGTTTGAGAAGCTTTAGATGAACTGTGTATGGAAGAATTTGAAGAGGAATGTATCAACCTTTGTGACATGCTTCTTCATAAATAGTAGAGTGATAATTTTTTTCTTTCATGTTTTGGGAAGCTGGACAAAATGTTTTTTGAGGAATAACAAAAACACTGAAGTTATTTTTTGAAAATCTTAATAGTCCAGATGTACAAGAAAACAAAGGTAGAAATCACAAGCATAAAATTTTGGGGTTGGGGGTGGTTTATTTGAATTATAAGAGTCACATTTAGAGGGTCCAATAACAGACTTATGTAAGAATGATAGAATGAGAAATTCTGTAATGGCACACTTTAAACCATAAATTCGGTGTAATCTTAACACAAATATTTGGGGTGTGTGTGATTTACTTCTATACATATTTTATATAATATGTAATTATATGTGTATATTTTTGTAAAAAACGTTGTTCCTCTATATCACCTACTTACTTATTCTCAGGTTACTTTTTTGCTTTACAGAAAACCTTCCCTAAAATTGGAAGATTATTGTTGCTGATCTGAGTAATTAATTAAAGCAAAGCTATGAAAGACTATACAAAAAAAAAAAAAAAAACCTCTGAAATATTGTCTGCTGATGGAGTCATTGGGAAAAAATGGTGTCTACCGCAGGCAGAGTTTACTCCTAAACTAAAGGCTATTTGTTGAAATAAATAGATTCTAGCACCTTTAAAGTTAGTTTCATAACTAAAAAGTAGTGGTGGAAGAAAGATGGTGGCCAAAGGTGTTACGTGAGTACTTAGCCAAAGGAGAAGGGAGAATCGCAGAAGGAAGGCATCATACGGTGGGGCTTGTTCTGTCTGCTCTGTGTGTGTACAGTGATGAGCTTACTTCCTTGGTCTGTTGGAAAAAGATCAGTGGTATGTGTAAATGTGTATTAGAACATCAAATTTCATGGAGATGACTTACAGATGAAATTTCCTCTTTAGGTGATTTGAATTAATCATACTGGTAATAAATCCAAATTTGCACCCAGAATCTAGGTAAGATTTATAATCCATTGTATCACATGGCTGTGGTCGAGACTATTTGTCATGAGCTCCATTACATTTATAGATGATTCTCCTTTAGAAGGGAGTAGGGAGCACTGGCTGAGAGCAATGTTTCAGGCATATTCTGGGCTTTTCCACAAATATTCTAGAAACATCTTTTGCAGAATGGCCTTAATCATAAACCATGATTGTCATTAATAATAAACCAGGAATGTCCTAAGGGACTAGCTATAAATGTAAAATTTAGGTTATGAATTTTACTTGAAACTTAAATCGGTGCTATTTGTGCCAGGAATACCAATGGCAGAAGCTACCTTCAGATCTGATTTTCGCTTGAATTCCAGGAGGAACACAGCCAAAAGATAATTCTGAATTCATGAATTTTGTCTTCTCACTTTTATGGCAAAAAATGGCTTTCTAATAATGGGTGACTCAATGTGGAAATTTCTTTTCCTAGTCAGTTTCTGTTAAATGCAAACTAAAGAATATTTTAATTATGTGCTATAATTGAGATGATGGAAAGGCAATGGCATTCAAACTTCCAGGGATCAGTGAGTAATTAAAATTAATACTTGGGAGTGGAAGTTAAAAAAAGTGTTGACGCTGGAAAAGAAAGGTAATTGAATACATAGCACAGGTTTTGCAGATTTCTCACTCTCTGAGAGAGGTACAGCAAATAAAGGAGAAAGCTGGGATGGACCTTGTGGGTTAGAGTCCTTCCATTGGATTGGCATCACAGAGCTCAGTATGTACTTAATATTTCGTACATATACATACATATTGCTGTGCTTGTGTGTAAGTGTATGTATGAACACATTGCACACTTACTTATGTATATAAACACAGGGATAAACATAGAATAGATATCAATGTGTGTGTCAGATGTTTACATATATTTACTAGGTCTGTCTGCTGGGAGGCCTGGTTGAGAGGCAGTGATACCACAAAACCAATGAGCTTGCGTAACCTCACAGTTGGGTCTTTAAATACCGTTTTTCAACTGAAAGAACCAGACTTCCCAGGAGAAATGACTGACCAGGGCTGTTGGGACAAGGACAGTGAAAATGTCCCTGAACTAGGTGGTAGTACCCACACGGTAATGGAGACGTATGAGAAAGACACAGGACGTCCTAAAAAGAGCTCCGCAAATCTAAGACATGTCCAGCAATAAAGTGAGTAAAGATTGCAGTGGATTTAATGCATAGAATAAAGTAATGATCCAGGACATGAATAAACAGATGAGAGAGAAGAGAAAGGTTTTCTCCACCATCCATTCCAACTGATAATGTAGAAGGATTATGGGAATAGAACGTCACCATTAAACATCGCAGTGATCATTGTTTTAGGAAGAATTCCTTGATGCTGATATTAATGGGAAAAAGTATGGTGAGGACAGAATATCTACATAAGTAGAAAGGGAAAAATAGAAACTTCAGCGAGAAGCAAGTGTGCCCCCTTGTTTGGCTTGTAAGGCAACCACCTATGTCTCCTTCCTGCCAGAACATAGGTGAATTGAATAAGGAAACATCAGGCACACTCAAATGGAGGGATATTCTCTGCCCAGTATTCTCTGTGAAGGTCACAAAAGGTAAGGAGACTGAGTGAATGTTCTAGACACAGGAGGCGTGATGACAAAATACTGCTGGTCAGCTGGGTCAGAAATAGGACATAGAGAAAATTGGTGAAATTTTTATAAGGTTAATAGATTTACATGGACACAACGCTGGCATCTATTTCCCTGATTTTGACAGTTGTTCTCTGTTTATCTAAGATGTTAATGTTTGAGGAAATTGAATAAAGGACCTGTAGGCATTTTTACTGTTCTTGGGATGTTTCTATAAATCTGAAATTATTTACAGATGAAAAGTTAAGTACTTGTTCAAAATCAGCGCAGTTTTTGCCATGTGTTATTTATTGTATCTTCAATGACAGCTCATAAATCAGTCACACAAACGTGATGGATAATGGCTCCTAGGGTGTGTGCAGAAATCACACTTCCCACGCTGCTGCAGGCTCATTTGAAAATGACAACTGCAAGTATGAACCGGAACTAGAGGCAGGAGTGAGCTGATGTCTTTATCATCATTTGTATGGCTTGAGCCCTTCAATATTTTTCTTCACAGTGGATTTTGAATGTTTGAACTAGATGTTCAAAGAATGAATTTGTTTTAGTCTTAGTGCTTCATTTATGTGAGTCACACCTTAAGAAAGTGGGTGAAGATTAATTTTCAGCTATCAGGCTAGCTTACTGGAACTCAGTGGCAACAGCTTCCAACAGGGACATCAGTGAGGGTGATCCTTTGTACAAAGAAGAAGGTTCCCTAACACCTTACTCAGTAGCAATGAACTTAGTGAGCAAACACTACCACTGGAGAAGGCAGCAGGTATATTGAAAATGGCCCCTCTGGTGAATCGTCCAAGAAATGCTTTCTTATTACAATTAATCTTACGATCTGATGCTGTTGCTTCTTCTCTCTTACAGGATAACATAAACATAGATGAAGCAGCCCGGTTCCTCGTGGAGAATATTCTTGACAACCAGCAAAGCTTTCCGAATGAAGAAAACGATGCAGACAAAATTAAACTGGAACAGGAGACCTTGAGAGCAGAGAGCAAATCCCAGTGTTGCTGACATGACTTCGGCTTGACCTGGGCAGAATGCATCCCTCCAGTCCAGAGTGACCCCAGGGAGCAGGTCACAGGCGTGGTTCCTGCCCTGTGACTCCCCCCAGCTGCTGGCACCCTGGGAGCTTGGGACTTTAGGGAGGTCGTCCTGCCAGTGGCCCACCACCTTCACACACGAGCACTTCTGTTCTCGTTGCCACTGTATTCAGGATAATGTTGACATCCTTTTAAATATCTTTTAAAATCCGCTCCTCAGGATTTGGTAAGACACCCAAGTTGTAGCACTTAACATAACCTGGGGTGGTAATAAAAGTTTACCTGAAGTCTTACAGTACCTGGATGAGTTTGTGTTTTCGTCTCCATGGTCCATCCTCACTTTCAAAGGAGGGGCTTTTGACTCTTCGCCACAGAAGTACCTGTCAGCATCATGTTCTTATGGAGCCATGTCTTCCCTCTTCAAAACTCTGGGGATTCATGTCAAATTGTTACCCTTAAAAGTTATAATTTAGCTAGTCCTGGCTAGTGTGGCATGTGGTTATTCCTCCCCGACACAGTAAAACACCCTTCCGTATGACTCCAGAAACTCCCTCACCAGTCTCCTACTCTGGGTTATTGGTGACCAGTAGAAACAATATTGACATATTTTTTCCCTTCTTTCCCCATTCCCTTCTTTCTCCTTTCCTGGTGTTTATGTATAACTGGAGACCTGAGTGATATTAGAGTTGCAGTTTCTGTAACTGGAGCTGGTCTTTTCAACTCTATAATAGAATAGTGCCGTTCAAGAAGAGAATTTATTTATTCTTTGTTGCTAAAGAAACTTAGTCATGTGTGGTTTTAGATCAAGTTTACACATTTAAGATATAGAATACATGAGAAATTCAAGGCAGTCTCATGACATGTATTGCCATTTAACCCTATTCAAGAAAAAAATATTTTGATTGACAGCTTTGAGTTAATGTACTTATAGAAGGTAATGTGGAGGATACTTCTTTGCCTTAAAATACTTTTGCCTTTTCTTTTTAAGGAACATAACTATGTGTGAAAATTCCAATTTATTTCTGTCAAAGGAATCTAATTGGCCTTTGTGACAATCTGATGTTAGTATTAAATGAGGCATTAACCAAATTTTGTCTTATCCATTAAGTATGAACTTGGATGGGAATGATCCATGCATTTATTGAGAGCAGAAAATAAAAAATAGCATAGAATTTCATGTGTTCTAACAGGTGTATTATGGGAAAAAAATACTAGTAGTTATAGTAGTTCCCATAATGGGAAGAGCTTTCTCTTCCCATTAAACCTTTGCCTTATCTAGGAATCACAGATGTGTCTTGTTTGTTTTATACTTAAGAAAATAAACTCTTTGACCACTTTGGACACATATTCTTTCAGATTTTTTGAAGTTAGAATCAGATTTTTTGAAGTTAAGGAATAGAAATAAGACCTTGATTTAAGTAATATTTATTGTATAATTCTTGAAAAAATTGAATTAACCTTGCTTTCTAAGAAACACAGTCAAGATATTTTCTAGTCTAGGTACAAAGCACAGCTTTTAACTTTTTATAATTCCAAAGTTAAACAGTGTGAATAGGATGAAATGTTGGTTCCAAACACCAATGTAAAACTGTAAAGTTTTTTCTGAGTAGTCACTGAAAGAGACTGAAGTATGCTTGAAGTGTCTTTCTCTCTCTCTCTCTCTCTCTCTCTCTCTCTCTCTCTTTCTCTCTCTCTCTCTCTGTGTGTGTGTATGTGTGTGTGTGTACTGCTTTTCTTAGTAACAAGAAATTCTTCACATTTAAATTTTTTTTGGCAATGGTTTCAAAATTAGAAGTATTGCACTTTCCTTGCTCATCTTTACCATTCTTCTTATTTGTTAGTAATTTTGAGACTCGACAAGGCCATGATTGTTTATAAACACTGATTTCTGTGTGTCATTGTGAGGTAGTTTATGCTGTTTATTCCCCACAATTTAGAAGTAAAGCTGAATAACTGTTTTTGCTTTTCTCCAAAATTCTCACAGCAACTCATTTTTGTAATCTGAACATAAAATTTGAATTTAAGATAAACTTAATGGCTAAAGAAAATTTACTTTGGCTGACTTTTTTATTGACCTTATTGCTTAATGAAAATTCCTGAGCCTGCCTTCAGAATTACTGAAAAAAATTAGGGGGAAGGGACTCATAATCTACTTTTAAAAAATATTTGGTGTTCATTTTTAAAGCCTCCCCGGACCATTAACAGTAGTGTTAATTCAGCTTGAAATCTCTATTATGCAAAACATGGACATTCTTAAAATACAGCACTTTAACGTGCATTCCTAAATCAGTGTTGTGAAAAATCTAAACACTTTACACAGTGGATGGCAGTATAAATTCAATTCCACCCACTGACGAAATTTAGATTTACTTTCATCCACAGAGGCTTAAAGGTTCTGTTGGGCTGAAGTAATTGACAAGCAGTGTTGCTAGAATTGGTTGGCCATTTGGTAAACGTAAGTCATAACAGGCTTCCCCAAATGACAGAACCTGAAAATTAATAACTTATATGATCTAAATAAAACCTACAAATTATGGGGAAAAAATGCTGACTCTCACCAATAAGATTCTTTTTGAATTCCCAAATGCTTTAAAACAAAAAGGAAAAAATGGTACATTTGGTTAAAACACTATCTTTTGAAGCAAGATGATATAAGCAAAATTGTAACAACAGACAAAAGGTAATATTTGTAACTTGTGTAATTGGGGAAAGATTATTAAGCAGGATAAATAAAAGACTGTTTAAGGCAATGAGTAGAAATGGGTGAAGAATAATATAAGCCAGACTTTTACAGAAGAGGCCATTCTTGCATCATTCCCTAACTACTAGGAAACAAAAGCGTTATCAGTTTCACAAAATGTATAAATTTGATTAATCCCTAATACAGATGAACAGGAAAAGGTATTCATAATCTGTTGACTAATTTGTTTTGATAGACACCTCCACGTTTCTCTCCTGTTCCGTGTACATGCAAGTCCAAGAAGTGGAACTACTGTTGGGGAAGATATATGCTTAAAACTAATATCTCACTCAGAAAACCTCTACCACAGAGGTAGAAAAGAAAGAAGGTGGTTTTATTACTGAGTGCATGAATCCTGAATGTCCTCAGCACAGGCAATGTGCTGGGGCTTGGGAAGACAGATGCAGGTAGAAGCCATCCAGTGTGTTTTCACCTGGGCACCCACTGTTCACTCCTCAGGTAGGAGGACGCCCTTCATCACACTCTTCCTTCTAAAGGCGTTTCACCATTGTGTGACCATCTGTGTCAGCTAATTGACTTTCTCCAAAGGAAACATATACTTCTCAATCTTTATGGCAGGAAGTCTTTATTTTTTTTTTTACTCTCTCTACATGAGGGTCTTTAGGGGACCATTGGAAAACCTGCCAGACAGATTCTAAAAGAGCTGTAACACTTCTGGCAGGTCTTTTTGCTACTTAGTGTTAGGTCCCACCAAGGTTAGGCTCCTAACTGTTCAAGGGGGACTGGGTGAGGTGCCTGGAACTTCTTTGATATTTACATCTCTAAAAGATGGTGCCCAGATCCTTAAGAATGCTGTTGAGAGGCTTGTTTGGCCTCTAAAAGTTTCACTTACATTTAAAAGAGACAAAGAGTTTATAAGTTTTGAAATGTAAATAGAAAAGAGGAGGAGGAAGCAGTGACTGGAAGTTTCATTTTCTAGGAGAAAATTAAGCCTCTTATTTTTAAGTTTCATTTGCCCTAATCAGCTCTGGATAAACTTCCACTTTTGTGTACAAGAAAGACTGTAGAGAAGGCTGCTTTCTGGAGCAATGCTTGGATATACCTGCAAAAACCCAAACTAGATAGATGACAGATAGATGGTAGATTAGATAGATAGATAGATAGACCAATCGATTGATAGATCGATAGACAGTAATAACGTAAGTGCTCATCTGTAGAGAGAAATAAAATGGGCAATCATGTTCCCATATGAGCTACTGTATAGTCATAGACTTAATATTTATATAAAAATATGTATGAAAAATGTAAAGACAGTGTGAGCCTATGAAGAGCATTTATCTTCAGAAAGAAAAGTACTAAATTTCTGATTTTAACTGCCTCAGGGCTGGGCTGGAAATGAGGATACTGGTTGAGTATAACTTTAGCTTTTTAGGTAATATTGATACATTCATGGCAAAATGCATTTTACACTTTTTAGTATCCTCCCTACACTATCACTGAAATGAAAAGGCACATTCTCATTTGAAACCTGGTACTTAAAAAAAATATAAGAACTGCTTTGAATTTTCTTTACTTCTTACTACCTTTCATAACATCACCTATGAGCTTGCCCTTCTTCAATCTGTATCTAACTGAATTTTACTTGCTAAATCAGTTACCTTTCTTAACATTAATGTCTGGAATGTTTCAGCAGTTAAAAATGCCCATTATACTTGTTAATGGTGAATTTTTGTTATTGTTACTTGCTCTAACCAGCGTGCAAGAATAGACAATATGCAATTTAAAGAACAGGCTTTCTGTGCATGTAAAATATTATAAACAACCCATTTATTTATTACAGGATTTTGTTTTGAATGATGAACATGCAAAACCATGACTTTTCTTGTTTCTGAGTCTTCAAATTGTGCACACGTGTTGGGAAGAGGAGGCGGTAGGAATGAGGATGACAAGGTTAGCAGCACATGTAACATACCTCTAGTAGTTTATCTATGGCAATTCAATCTACTGCCCCCGAAAAGTCACCTGAATACTACCTGTATTGTCCTGCAGTTCATCAGCATTTCCCAAGCCAAACCCTTCATCTTTCAGTCTTTTTCTCACTACCAAACATGCTCTACAAATATGTGGCTATATATTATAATTTAAATTATGGTTATGTTCTATGCTAACATGCTAGTGGTATGATCACTTTGTTGATTTTTGGAAACACTAAATTTGTAGCTGCCATTTCTCTCTTTTTATGAACACTTACTTGCTTTTGAGTCTTTAGTATAGTGTCAGCCATGCTGTTAAATTATTTGAAAGCCTGCAAAGTAACACAGCAAATTGCTTTAAGTGAAACCTTATAATAATACTAGTTGAATCTGGCTTTAGTTTCAATTCAGTGTACCACTTCCACTGTCAAACTGTGGTTTAAAAATGAAATTCTGTGAATTTCTTTATTGATTATAAACTAAGATACTCCTCAAAAACGTTGATGGAAATCTGGTGCTATAAATTACTCTAGTTCTTTTGGACCAGTTTGATTCAGAATGACTTTGATAACTGGGAGTAGAATTTTTCATGGCATAATGCCTTTAGGAATGGAATATATACTCTAGGCTATTTTTTGAGCATATTT